TGTAGTTCCCTGTAAAGTGCCAGCCCTGGAAATAAAGGTGATTCTATAGCTCCTCTCCCCTCCCCTCGCCCCCTGCCCAAAGTGAGAATAGGGACTTATTCTGTGCCAACACTGTTTTGGGTGATGGGAGTTTATTTGTCGATTTATTTATTTCTGTTAAAATTTGTTTGTATTGGTTTGAGAAGGAGGGAGACAACAATTGCAGGGAAGCAGATTCTCAAAGGACTGAGAAACTGCTCCAGAGAAGGGCAGTTATACCTTGGAATCAAAGGAGGAGGCATCAGGGGGCTCCATGAAATCCATTGGTGGTAGACTAGGGAGGCGGGAGGAAGCAAGTGGGAAACCTCTGGGATTGGCTAACGAGTAAAATGATAGATACATGCTTCCTTCACATTGGTGGGTACAGGAAAGCTAACATTTGCAGCACAAGGAGATGGTATTCCGGAGACCAGATGACAGTGAGGGGCTCCGTGGTCGCAGCTCTGGGGGGAGGTTGTGCCCTGAGGAGTCTGGGAAAGGAGACTGCTCCGACCTTCCAAAGGTTTGTTATCTCAGGTGCAAAAAGACAACAGGTGGCTCGGTTCCGGTCAAGGTGGACCTTTGGCAAGGAAGGTGCCAGGCTTGGACAGGACCACCGCCACGATGTGCTTTTAGTTAAGGCTCCATTTCAGCACGGCCTCGGTGGGGACGTCAGCTCCGAGTTTGTAAGGCCGCCGCACAGGCCTCCCCTGAGCTTGTCAGGGTTAGTGTGTGGCCCCTTCTTCATCCACAAAACTTGGCTGAGTTGGAAATGATGTGGAAGGAAATGCCACATGGGTAAGAGTGGCTCCCAGCGTCTGCGTTGCCGTGGGAGCATGTGTTTGCTTTCCCACCCTCAGATGGAGGGAATCAATAGGAATCAACTCCTCAGGGGATAGCGATGCCCCGATGCCCCGTGGCAGGCGGCTCTGGGCTTCCTCATGTCTAACCCCCTGTCTCCCTCCGCACGGTCTCGGGCAGAGACCAGCCCAGGCCCCGCTCCGCTCACTGAGCGACCCCTTCCCTCTCCTGCAGCCCTGCCTCAGACGGCCTGACAGGGAACATGTAGGCCAGGCTCCTGACCCAGCAATGGCACTGCTAGGACTTTAACCTACAGCTATGCCTTCGTGAAGGGTTGCAGACAAGGTTATCTGTGGAGACACTGCCCAGCGAGATTGGAACCAGCCAGCTGTCTGCAATACGGGGCCGTTAACACGGCTGTAAACAGAAGGCAGAGGGCCGCCTCCCCGGGGCCTGGGAGAGCGCCGGGCGGCAGCAGCAGGTGCAGAGCCTGCAGGACCTGCAGGTGCGGGTTAGCGAGCGGGAGGAGACCGGCGTGTTGGTGCTGGCTTCTGTTTGCACGGACACGCAGGAAGCCAACACACAGGGCTGTCCACGTGGGCGTGGCTGGGAGGCGTGGGCTGGAGGAAGTCTTCTCGGGTGGGCTTTTTCATCTGCCTTGATTAGAAAATGAAACCGCTGCACTAACTGTTCACAAAACAACGAGAAGTTGTTGGGGGGAGAAAATGTCAGAGAAGACATCTTCTGTCTTCTCCGCCTCACCCCATAACATAGAAACAGAATTGCTGGAGGATGAGGCCCAGAAATCAGGATTTTAAGAAGATTCCCGGGTGATTCTAATGTGCAGCCAAGGTTGAGAACCACTGGTCTAGATTGAAACGGATTTGGACTCAGAAACAAAAGTCAGTTAGTTTAATCAATGCAACAAATCACACCTGAGGTGGCAGGGAAGCCTGTAATTTCTCAGCCCGAATTTAAGGATTGAATTAAAAGTTACTACTCAAATCCTTCTGGGAGAGAATCTGTATCAAAAGGAAAGAGAAAGCCCGGATGCCTCTGTGGAGGGTGTACCAGCCACGCATGCAGAGCGCGCCGTGACTGAACCCCGGGGCTGGCACTGTTTGCTGTCTGTGCCTCGGCGGTCCGAAATGCTAAGCTACTCGTGGCAACATCCTGAGCAAACTAAACCTTACGTGTCTTCAACAAAGGTGAAATGATGTGTGATGCCATATTCTATCTATTTTTTTTTAAAATATATTTTATTGATTTTTTACAGAGAGGAAGGGAGAGAGAGATAGAGAGCTAGAAACATCGATGGGTGAGAAACATCGATCAGCCGCCTCCTGCACATCTCCTACTGGGGATGTGCCCGCAACCCAGGTACATGCCCTTGACCGGAATCGAACCTGGGACCTTTTAGTCCGCAGGCCGACGCTCTATCCACTGAGCCAAACCGGTTTCGGCTCTATCTATTTAATAGCATTTAATTTTGAAATTAAAAAAAACACCTTAACACCCTACTTATTTAAGTCAACAATTTTAGGAGAAAACTTTGAATTACTTTACGTTAATTATTATTTTTTTATGATAGTTCAACAAAAAAGAGTCAGAATTCGAGTTCGCCAAAGAAAAGCAACCAACGTTATCCAACTCTGGGTTAGCCTTCGTGCAATCAGTAAAACATCCTTGCGACATACACTGGGCTTCCTAGCGCCCGGAGAGATAAAGGTGTGAATATTCAACTAGTACTTGAGGTTTCTCTGATTTTATTTCGAAGTCAACGAGCAATGTAAATATTTTCCAAGTAAATGTTGCTGTTGACTCACTACTTAACTTTTTGTCAAAAAATGTTTACTTCCACCATTTTTTTGTTCCGAGTTGACGTTCTTTCTGCTGATGAAATGCCCCGAGCAGGGAGCATGCTGGGTAGACCACCTGGCTTCTCGGCCACCCTATGTCCTATTTCGTAAGACCGGCTGGGGCCCTCCGCCTGGGACCTTGGATTTCCCTATCGTAAAAAGCGTTAGATTAGGTCTTTAAAGCTTTTCAGCTTTAAAATCGATGATGCACTCGAATCTGTAAGTCAGCTGTTCAAAATAACATAGTTATTGTGGTTCCATACCAAGAACTAGCTGACTTTTCAGCTCTACAGCCAAGTCCCTTTGTAATCATTTGCTATTGAGTTGACTCCAATAGACTTCACCCCTAGCTGGGTGAGCCTCACAGGTCAGGCTGGCCGCCATGCCTCTGCTGGTATTTCCTGTTCTCTCCCTACTTCGGGGCACACAGTGTCTCTGTCTGAGGCCCTCTCAGAGGCGCCCCTCTGGACGCAGCTCTGTTGTAGAGCTCAGGCCCCATGCTAAGAACTGGCCACCTCTCTCTCTAAAAGAAATCAATAAAAACATTAAAAAAAAAAAGAATTCTTTCCTTTTAAATGTAGCGGCTGCTTCTTCCCACGGTCAGAGGTGCAGGTTTGCGCGCACACCTGTTGCAGGTGCGTTTCCCGACATCCCCTCCTTGCTAGGGGCCCGCACGCTCTCGCCTGGTGTGAAACCGTTGCAGCTTCGGGCACTGGGCACTCAAGGGTCATGTGCTGACGGGACTGAGGAAGCTGAGTTAGGCGGGATGTGCGCCGCGGGGTCAGTCTCTCTCTTTCAGCCGCATGGCTCCCGGGTGGTTGGATACTGGGACCTGTGAATCGTTTTAGGGGCTCGAAAACCTTTGCCACGTACGCTCTGTCCTTCCCCGTGTCCAGCTGCACAAGTAAAGCACCTGCCAATGGAGCCGTTCGTTCTGTTCTTGGCTGAAAACAAGCTGCTTTCAAGTCCACGTCTCCAAGGCCGAGTTAGGGTGAAAACGAACGGTTAGGAGAGAAGCTATAAAATGTTACCATGCTCTCTGTACCTATTGCATTTTTCCGATAAGAAAGGAGAGATAAAACCCAGACATTCTCAGCAGTTTCTTGCCTACGGAAGCACTTTTGTGAAAGAGCCCCTTATCTGTGCGTCCCAAAGCGTCCCAGCCTGTGCCACTCACACGTTGGCTGGCCGGCCCCTGGCGTGAACTCATAGCCTGGGCCCCTGGCTTTGTAATCATTCCAAGAGCTGGGCTTGGCTCACACACCTGCCCAGGTTGGAAGAGCAGAAACGCGGGGAGATGATTTCTCTCTGACCCCTGGGGCAGAACCAGCTAACTTCCAGTAATTAATCACACTGTTCAGGATAGTAGAGGGAAAGGAAAAAAAAAAAAAAAAGAAAAGAAAAGAAAAAGGCACAGGCCTGCTCTCAGGGAGTTCCAGTGGCCCCAACAGCGGGAGTAAGTGACTCTGGTCTAGGGCAGGTGGGGCCCAGGAGGACAATCCCTTTTGGGGTCTTGCTCTGGGCAGCTGCACACCGGGCCCTGCCTCTGTGCCTGCACCGTTTTCCCGCCCCTGCCCTGCAGCTGTGACTTTCCTCCCTGCTCAGCGGCTTGTGTATGTCCAATGTCTGCCATCTGCCCTCCTACCCCATCTTCTCCCTGCCCTTCCCCACCCTGTCTGTGTCCCCGCAGGCTCACCCGCAGGGACTGCCTTCCAGGGCTGGCACCCGGCCGCTCAGGCTTCCGGGCAGCTCAGCCTGTGACCACTCTGGCAGGAGAGAAGGGGTTGGAATCTTGATCCCTGTGGGGTCACTCGTGGCCGTGGCCCAGGCAGGTGTGGGTTCTGGAAACCTCTCCCTTTAGGCCTGGGACTGACAAAGGCCCCCCAGGTGCACTGGCCCAGCTCACGTCACCCTCTGGTTGACCTGTCCCCAGCGGATGATGAACAGCAGACCTCAAGGTTACAATTGGGAGCTGCTACCTGTTCCCGCTGGGAGCTGGACTGATCACGTGGGTCTAGTGGACCGCGGTGCCCAGCTGGGTCTCTGTCCCTGATCACGTGGGCCTAGTGGACGGCGATGCCCAGTTGGGTCTCTGTCCCTGATCATGTGGGTCTAATGGACCGCGGTGCCCAGTTGGGTCTCTGTTCCTGCCTGCGGCCGCCCCTGGAGACACGCGGCCGGCCGCACACAGGGCTGGGCGGACCCTCCCCTTTGGGACAACCTGCGTAGGCGGCTGGCCCTCTCCCGCCTGTTACCCAACATCCCGCAGAGAGAGACAACATGATGTCCAGTCCCTTCCTAGTTTCGCATGAGATTGAGCTCCGAGTTTTGTAACAGGTGTGGAGGGCGCCGCAGATGAACCGACGGAGCACTGCAACCGTTTAGGTCACCTCCGCAGCGAC